TCCCATCACTGTGATATATATGTTATACACCAGCCATCAATCCATTACTGTGATATGTTATATGTTATACACGAGCCACCCATCACTGTGATATATCTGTTATACACCAGCCACCCATCACTGTGATATATCTGTTATTCACCAGCAACCAATCAGTGTGATATATATGTAATACACCAGCCACCCATCACTGTTATACATAAGTTATACACTAGCCAGAAATGGCTGTGATATGCATGTTATACACCAGCCACCCATCACTGTGATATATATGTTGTACACTAGCCATCCATCGCTGTGATATATATGTTATACACACCGCCTCCCATCACTGTGATATACATGTTATACACCAGTCTCCCATCACTGTGATATATCTGTTATACACTAGCCAGCAATCGCTGTGATATATATGTTATACACCAGCCACGCATTACTGTGATATATATGTTATACGCCAGCCATCCATCGCTGTGATATATATGTTGTACACAGCCTCACTTCACTGTGATATGTATGTTATACACGAGCCAGCCATCACTGTGATACATATGTTATACACAAGCCTCCCATCACTGTGATATATCGTTTATACACCAGCCTCCCATCACTGTTATGTATATGTTATACACCAGCCTACCATCACTGTGATGTATATGTTATACAACAGCCATCCATCGCTGTGATATATATGTTACACACCCTCCTCCAATCACTGTGATTTATATGTTATACACCAGCCATCCAACACTGTGATATATATGTCATACACCAGCCTCCTATCACGGGGATATATCTGTAATACATCTACCACCCATCACTGTGATATATCTGTTTATACACCAGACTCCTATCACGGGGATATATCTGTTATACACCTGCCATCCAACACTGGGATATATATGTTATACACAATCCACCCATCACTGTGATATATATGTTATAAACCAGTCTCCCATCACTGTGATATATATGTTATACACCAGCCTCCCATCACTGTGATATATATCTTATACACCATCCCCCCACCACTGTCATATATATGTTATACACCAGCCTCCCATCACTGTGAAATATATGTTATACACCAGCCTCCCATCACTGTGATATATATGTTATACACCATCCATCCATCACTGTCATATGTATGTTATACACCGGCCTCCCATCACTGTGATATATATGTTATACACCAGCCTCCCTTCACTGTGATATATATGTTACACACCCTCCTCCAATCACTGTCATATATATGTTATACACCAGCCATCAAACACTCTGATATATATGTCATACACCAGCCTCCTATCACGGGGATATATATCTGTTATTCACCAGCCCCCATCACTGTGATATATCTGTTATAGACCAGCAAGCCATCACTGTGATATATCTGTTATACACCAGTCTCCAATCATTATTACATATATGTTATACACCAGCCACCCATTACTGTGATATATATGTTATACACATCCACCCATCACTGTGATATATATGTTATACACCAGCCTGCGATCACTGTGATATATCTGTTATACACCAGTCTCCAATCATTATTATATATATGTTAAACACCAGCCGCCCATTACTGTGATATATATGTTATACACCATCCACCCATCACTGTGATAGATATGTTATACACCAGCATCCCATCACAGTGCATATATATGTTATACACCAGTCTCCCATCACAGTGCATATATATGTTATACACCAGCCTCACATCACTGTGATATATATCTTATACACCAGCCAGCCATCACTGTGATATATCTGTTATAAACCAGCCTCCAATCATTATGATCTATATGATATACACCAGCCGCCCATTACTGTGATCTATATGTTATACACCATCCACCCATCACTGTGATATATATGTTATACACCAGCCTCCCATCACAGTGCATATATATGTTATACACCAACCTCCCATCACAGTGCATATATATGTCAGACACCAGCCTCCCATCACTGTGATATATATGTTATACACCAGCCATCAATCCATTACTGTGATATATATGTTATACACGAGCCACCCATCACTGTGATATATCTGTTATACACCAGCCACCCATCACTGTGATATATCTGTTATTCACCAGAAACCAATCAGTGTGATATATATGTAATACACCAGCCACCCATCACTGTTATACATAAGTTATACACTAGCCAGAAATGCACTGTGATATACATGTTATACACCAGCCACCCATCACTGTGATATATATGTTGTACACTAGCCATCCATCGCTGTGATATATATGTTATACACCTGCCTCCCATCACTGTGATATACATGTTATACACCAGTCTCCCATCACTGTGATATATCTGTTATACACTAGCCAGCAATCGCTGTGATATATATGTTATACACCAGCCACGCATTACTGTGATATATATGTTATACGCCAGCCATCCATCGCTGTGATATATATGTTGTACACAGCCTCACTTCACTGTGATATGTATGTTATACACGAGCCAGCCATCACTGTGATACATATGTTATACACAAGCCTCCCATCACTGTGATATATCGTTTATACACCAGCCTCCCATCACTGTTATGTATATGTTATACACCAGCCTACCATCACTGTGATGTATATGTTATACAACAGCCATCCATCGCTGTGATATATATGTTACACACCCTCCTCCAATCACTGTGATTTATATGTTATACACCAGCCATCCAACACTGTGATATATATGTCATACACCAGCCTCCTCCTATCACGGGGATATATCTGTAATACATCTACCACCCATCACTGTGATATATCTGTTATACACCAGACTCCTATCACGGGGATATATCTGTTATACACCTGCCATCCAACACTGGGATATATATGTTGTTATAATAATCCACCCATCACTGTGATATATATGTTATAAACCAGTCTCCCATCACTGTGATATATATGTTATACACCAGCCTCCCATCACTGTGATATATATCTTATACACCATCCCCCCACCACTGTCATATATATGTTATACACCAGCCTCCCATCACTGTGAAATATATGTTATACACCAGCCTCCCATCACTGTGATATATATGTTATACACCATCCATCCATCACTGTCATATGTATGTTATACACCGGCCTCCCATCACTGTGATGATATATGTTATACACCAGCCTCCCTTCACTGTGATATATATGTTACACACCCTCCTCCAATCACTGTCATATATATGTTATACACCAGCCATCAAACACTCTGATATATATGTCATACACCAGCCTCCTATCACGGGGATATATCTGTTATTCACCAGCCCCCATCACTGTGATATATCTGTTATAGACCAGCAAGCCATCACTGTGATATATCTGTTATACACCAGTCTCCAATCATTATTACATATATGTTATACACCAGCCACCCATTACTGTGATATATATGTTATACACATCCACCCATCACTGTGATATATATGTTATACACCAGCCAGCGATCACTGTGATATATCTGTTATACACCAGTCTCCAATCATTATATATATATGTTAAACACCAGCCGCCCATTACATGTGATATATATGTTATACACCATCCACCCATCACTGTGATAGATATGTTATACACCAGCATCCCATCACAGTGCATATATATATGATATACACCAGCCTCCCATCACAGTGCATATATATGTTATACACCAGCCTCACATCACTGTGATATATATCTTATACACCAGCCAGCCATCACTGTGATATATCTGTTATAAACCAGCCTCCAATCATTATGATCATTGTGAT